AGTTGTTATAGGCCCGAATACCGTCAACGTTCATTTGAATATCGATATTTGTAGCCCTAGTGTGAATCTCACGGAGCTGTTGCAGCAAACCTGCTTTCAACCCAAGGTGAGTGTACATCCCACCGGCCTTCTGTCGCACGCAGCAACGACGGGGAATTTTCATTACGGTCCGTGGACGAAAAAAGTACCTGAGTTCGTCCAACACAACGGCTAACCCGGATAATGGTAAATTCAGCCTTCGCGCCATCCGACGAACAGCCGTTAACTTACTTCTACCTGGCTGTGAATGGTTCAAAAAGGATACTGATGAAAAGCAATATGAGTGTAAGCAGAAAATACGGGCTGATTCCTTCAGCGACTTGCAGTGGGTTACCCTGTGGTAAAAAACAGGGACCGAAAGGTTCTACAGGGACCGCAGTGGTGAATGTCTTTCTGGTTCCAAGGTCCTGATAACAGGGGTCGGGGAAACCGCCGGCGAACATCGTGGTAACTCACAGCCTAGTTTATCCCCTGGGACGATCAAATGCGGCATATCTAGAACTCATGAATCGTATCCTCAGATAGTCGACTTAAGGCATTATGGACGCATTCATCAGTCGGGCAACGAAAACAGCCACTTGCCGCAACTACCTGTCGTACTTTCCTATATAGTGTTGTTCTTGAACAGCCCTTACGAGCAACACGAACAAATTTCGGGCGCATTGACGATTACTTGGAATGAAAAATCTTTTTACGGTTTCATTCACGTTAACACACCAGGAATAAAGCATATGAAAGAACAACAAAACTCACGCTCAGCCGTACGTGAGGACAAGCAGAACGCAGAGCTTCCCGCAAGCAATGGCGCCGCACACTAAAACAAAACCACTTAAATGGATCGATAGTTTGCATTTCGTAGGCACTCCGAAATGCAAGGTATTGTGGTTTTTTATTACTGTGAGACAAATAAAGAAGCTTTGATTCCTATTAAACGTCTCAATATTCCGCGGCTTAAAAGCCAAAAATCAGTGCAGAAGTTCTGCACAGATTCCACACAGGTTATGCACCCAGGAGCGGACGCACGGTAACTGGGTGGGTAATTGGTGGGAAATTAAGAATCGCCATCTATCAGAAGCTAACAGCCACAGCCCTATCAGCTCACATTTCGAAAAGTCTACAACTGTTTGCGTTTTGTGACCTATTCGTTCAACAGATTCCATTGTAGGAACTCCGTATGCCTGAGCAATCACCCTTGCAGTATTCTATGGTTTACGTTCAAGGCTGTATTGATTAGCTTTCCATTATTCGGTGATCTGCGGCCCCACCAGTACGAGTGCACGGATAACATTATACGAAAAATAATCAAGTGAGATAGGAGAACGCCATATAAACGGCCAAGCCAGATAGGCCTAGTTTTTTGTAGGCCTGTCACAACTCTCACTGTCTTCACTGTGTGACATTTACCGCGAATGACCAACCGTAGTGGCATCACAAGACTACTGTCTGCCTAACAAGTGGTTGATAAGAATGAGTTCAAATAAAGGCACTCCAAATGAAACGCAGCTGTGTGGCTATCCTCTTTGCTGGTCTAGCATGCCACCGGATCCTGACAAGCCATGATCTTCGCGAGGAGCCATGTGAGTAGTGAATCGCCTCTAGTTGCTGTCCTAAACTGCTCAGTAATCTACTTTAATTTGACACTGTTCCCTGGTAGCACAGAATGGCAAAACGGTTGTTACTTTGTTGAAAAAAAACGATTATTTACTGCCTACTTAATTAAAACAAGTTGTCCAAACCAATAAGTAGCGTACTGGAAACAGGATGATTCGTAAGTAGACTCAACCATTTTATAGTGATCATGACCCCGGATTGACTCATGGTTATCGACTGCTTGTTTGGTATTAATTGGGTGTTTCAAGGTTAAATGAACACGAAATAGGGACAGAGCGTGAACACGAGACCATGAAATTATCAGACTATGAAGTATTCAGAAGTGGTTATCTTCGGGTGGTTTGTGGCAGACCAACCATGATATACTGGTAAAAAAACAGGTTAAAAGCCATGGGCTGACTGCCAGACCATAAATATATCATGGGAATAATATGGCCAAACAACCGGGAATCACTAGTAGAGGTTGGTTACCGAACCACAAAAGACCTCTTGTATGATGGTTGTATCGTGGATGGTTCTTGGTGGAACAACCACTTCAAATGGCTGTACGCTGGTTATTGAAACACCTTTCACAATTTAGCTTCGTAACGCAGACGCATGCGACAAAAGACTGGTCAAATAAGAACCACAGATGAACCAATTGCTGTGTTTTTTCTACCGAATAGGTCACCATAATACAGGATAGCGTCAGCCTCATGGGCTCCGGCATTTCAAGAGAAAGGCCAATTTGCTGCTCCAGTAGAAAGTTACCACTGAACATTCCACGCAGATGCATGTCCCACTTACCTGAGCCGCAACGATGTAGCGCAGATAGTAACATTACTCCCTTATCCGTAATAAGCGTCATGTTCATATCTACCAACCGTCAGTGCTACTCAACTTATGAGAAATAAAAACACAGCTTAGTGGGATAAGATGTTATGCTATCGGCTTCCACGGGCAAACATTTCACGGATTTTACGATCAAATTACTCTACAACAAACATTTTATAGCATAATTTAATCGCAAACTAACTGTACCGGCCTCCATAATGAAGTTTTGATGATCTTCCTGCGGAATTAAAAAAATTTCCAAATTCTAACGAAGGTAATTTGTACACTAGTGAAATAGACATATAAATATGTCAAATCACTCAACTCCGTCAGGAGCACTCCTCAACCGCTGTATGGATAAAGACATTAGGCTAAAGGCCATGAACGGTATGCGAAAATGCCGGAAGTTAAGCATTTTTTAGCCAACAGAATAATGGGTTTGCAGTAGACCGTACTGACCTCC